AAAAAAAAAAAAAAAAAAAAAGACAGATGGGATTAGAAAATGTTGCAGTGAAGACTCTGGAATGAGATGAGATCACAGCACCAGCCTGTCTTTTGTGGACCTGCACAATGATCCCCGAGCCAGACTGGATTAGGAAACCTCGCGACTAGGGGTTCAGAGAGAGGCTTCCGGTTCCCGGCACTTTGGGGGAGAGAAGGCTGAAACGATGCATCAGATTTACAGCTGCAGTGATGAAAATATAGAAGTTTTCACCACCGTGATCCCTTCCAAGGGTGAGTAAAATTGCCCTTGACTGTTTCCTTAGCGGCACCTTATGCCGGAGGGTAAGGATAATCACGTGCTGTTTTACTATGGTTTTCCTCGGGTCTCTCAGAGGGTTTGATGGGCTCTCTGTTTTGATGGTATTGTTGTTGTTTAAAATAAGGTACATGGATAGACATTAATCATTGAGAAACAATTGATCAAGGGGGTGGGGTGGGAATGAGGGCGGTTAAATACTCCCAGTTTCACTTAATTGAACACTGGCAACCCAATACGCCACCGAATGAAAGTAACAGCAAGCCATTGTTTTAGGAAAGAGAGATGAAAACAAAATTCCCAGGGCAGCCAGAGAGATTCTTTCATGTTCTCCAATGAGCAAGTGGATTTTGAAATGAGAACCAGCTGGCTCAAAAGTATGATTCTGGGCTATGCTGTGAAATGTGAGGGGAAATACTCCCAGCACTGGCCTAAAGTCTAACAAAGTGGTCAAATAGTGCCCTGACCCAGGGCTGGCCTCTAACACAGATCCCAGGGCCATGCTCCCAAACTTCACCTCGAGCTAGCACTGCCAAAAAGTGTGACTCTGTAAGCCCTTGTGCTCCAGGGTGAATGGTGTCAAGTCCCAGGAAGGGCTTTGTGTTCGAGCTCAGAGGACAGCAGGTGTCTGGTTACTGGACAGTTCCCCCGTCCATCCCCTCCAAAGCTCAGCCCTCTCTCCTGCTCCCTCTGTCCCTCCCTGCAGCCCCTGCCTTGCTGGGAGAGCCTGGGACTCTGGCTTAGCCCTGGTTTCATTGTCAGACTTGAATGAAGGGGGCTGGATGTTTGCTGGTGTTGTGACCCCCCTGTTCAAACAATTCTTTTCTTCTTCCCGTGTCAGCCACTGACAGGGCCACTGCTCAGGGGGGGAAGGGAGAGACTCAGCCTGGTCACAAAGAGACAGCCAGCAGAACATAAATAAAGCTTTTGACATCTATTGCCACATACAGAGAGAAAAAAGAGCTAGGAGTCTGCCCACGTGCAGGAGTTGGAACTCTAGAGACTCTGAAAAGTACCTGAAAGTCAAAAGCCTACCCTCTGACCTGGCAGTTGCACTGCTGGATACTTTTATCATGGACGTTCACAGTGACATTGATTCTAGGAGAGCAAAACTGAAAATAAATGTCCTTGAGGAGGAGAGGGGTAAAATGTGGTATCATCATACTATGGAATATTCCACAGTTGTCAACAGGGATGAACTAGATCTATGTGTATACACAGATCTCAAAAGCATAATGTTGAGTGAAAAAAAAAAGCAGGCTGAAAAATTTTATATGTATGATAACAGTTACTACATCTGGAAATAAAAAACAACACTATACATTATTTATGGATATATATCCAGAGAAAGTATGAAAACATAGGCTGGAAAGATGCAGATAAAATTAGTGATCTTATTAGCCCTGGGGAGGGACGGAAGCAGAATTGGGGGAGAGTAGAAAGGAAATCTAAACTTGCCTAATTTTTTTATTTCTTTTACACGAAAAAACAAATTGGAAGCAAACATGAAAATGTTAAAATGTCAATTTTCTGTAATTTTTTCCCATTTAACAATTTTTAAAGGGAGAAAAAAATCAAAGCCCAACGGCCCTTTTTAATTAAAAACTTATTCAACAATTCAAGAGCAATGTCACACTTCACCTGAATAAATAATTCAAAATATGGCCTCTGATCCCATTTGCTTAGCATAGTGGTCAAGAGACAACTGCCACTTCCGCACTGTGTGACCCTGGTCAGGCTACTTCACCTCTCTGGGTCTGAGTTTCCATTTTTGTAAAAGGGAGAGCTAGAATTTATCTCCCAGGGTTATTATGGAGGGAAAACTGAAATACAGATAAAATATATAATGCATCTAAAACAGCATGTAGTAAGCACCATTAACTATATCACTTACAAAATGATTTCTATTTTCATTCCATATTTAGAGCAATGAATATTCAGTCAAAGATAAATGTTTAATCCTATATTCCTTTCTTGCCATTTTCATTCATGGCCATCTCCGGGTAATAAACCAAATATTCATTAGTATTCATGGACATGTCACTGCTCAGGAAGTTCTCTAGAAAAGGAGTATTTGCAGTTTTACATTGAACCATAAATGGAAGAAGTTCACCTCTTTTATTTGTTTTTATTTTTTGCCTCATCTTGCCTTCTCCAAAGCTATCAAGCAGAGGGCTTTCAGTGAGAGAAGACTGTGCTAGGTCTTCTTAAGTAACTGCTTATAAGAGAGATTGGTAACTCTTCATTATGTCCCCACATTCTTTAACAGCAGAAATAGAAGTTGGCTTAATTTTATCTAACAAGTGTTACAGTCCTCCCTGGTATGCCCTTTTCCAAATGCTATCGTTTAGCATGACTAAAATGACCAAAACAGTTTCTGAGCACAGCTTCAGCAGCATGGGCAGTGTGGCCAATGGTTAAAAGTATAGGGCCTTGTTCCACAATCAGCTGTGCGGCCCCTAACCTTCAGTATCCACACCAATAAAACGTAGTTAATAAAGAATACCTAGCTCACAGAGTTGCTAGAAGAGTGAATGAGATAAGGCAAATTAGCCATCAGCTGGTAAAGCTCAATGCGAGCTATTATTACATTTATGTTATTGTATTATATCCTCCTGTCCAGCACACACATACATACATATATTGGGTTCAGCTTAAAGGCATGGGATCAAGTCTATGACTGAGAGTAAGTGTGGATTTTTACTTTCTGGAGAGAAAGAACCTTACTTGAAGGGAAAGATTTCATAGACAAAATTCACAGTAAATACCAAAGATAAAAGCTGTGGTTTTACCAAGAAGTTATACCAGAAGTTATTTCCTGAGCAACACACTAAAATGGGTTTAATTCTAGGGTGAATAATACCACAGCATTCAAAATAATTCTTCTGAGGATAAACAGCAATGGGGAGGCATTCGTGAGGGGAGTCAGGGGACAGTAGGAAGAAATGGAGAAAACTCCAGAAAGAGAAATCCTGAAGGAATGCTAACTTAGAAGTTATCACCTATTATTTCTACCTGCCTTCAGTTTGCAGAGATAGAAGAAAGAAAATCGTAAAAACCACTAATTCCTGAGAACTTTCTCTTTGCTGGGCACTGGACCAAGGGCGTTATAAAAATTAGTTTATTTAATACCTGTCACAGCCCTCTGAGATGGTTGCTATTAATTACCCTGTCTTACAGATGAGGAGAGTAAGGTGTGGAAAGGATGGGTAATTTGCCCAAGTCACGTAACTGGCAAAGGGTCCTGTTCCAATTCATCCTCACGTGAAAGGAATCGGGAACCCTGGCTATAAACCAGCACACCGTACTCCAGGTTTCATGGCTGTAGGTGCTCTGCAGAAAATACCACCAGCCAGCACTCCTCTGATCACTTATCTGGTAGGTGACAAGAAGTCATCTCAGTTCTAGGCAGGGCAGTGACATGGAAGATTTCAGTTCCAAGTATATTATTTTAGCAGCAATGTGGAAAACATGTCTGAGTATCTCCATTTCAACAAAGTACACACCTTTTCCCACCAACTAACATGTTTTAATGGTTGATTTTTTAAGCTTTTTACTGTAGTGATAAAACATACATAATATAAAATTTACCATTTAGCCATTTATAAGTATACAGTTCTGTGGCACAAAGTACATTCACATTGTTGTGCAGCCATCACCACTATCCATTTCCAGAACTCTTCATCATCCCTGTTAAATAACAACCCACATTCCTTTCTTCCCCCAACCCCTTCGTAACCTCTATTCTACTTTCTGTCTCTGAATTTAACTACTCTAGGTATCTCACATAAATGGACTCATACAATATTTGTCCTTTTGTGTCTGGCTTATTTCACTTAGCTTAATGTTTTTAAGGTTCATCCATGTTACAGTATGTATCAGAATTTTACTTCTTTTTAAGGCTGAATAATATTCCACTGTATGTATATACCACATTCTGTTTACCCATTCATCTGTTAGTGGACATTTGGGCTGTTTCCACCTTTTGGCTATTGTGAGTAATGCTGCTATGAATTTTAGTAACACCTAAAATTGTAATCACACCCCATTCTCCCCACTTGCCCCTCCCCACTCTAGGTGCAAACCCTCTCTGAGGCTACATCAGCCTCACCAGTGTTCTCTAAAACTATCCCTTTCTCTCTCTTTGCAGTGTCCAGTCCAGCCAGAAGAAGAGTCAAAAGTTCTCAACACCTCTTGACCAAGAATGTAAGGACAACTTCAGTTTTCATACCTTTTGTTGGTTTTCAGTTCAAAAGCAGCATATAGCTTCTTCATTCCCTCTGCCCTGCTCTCAATAACCATGAAGTTTTTCTCTATCGCATACTGCTGTTCTGTATTTCCTGTCCTCCACTTCACCAAAATGATTGACAAATGTCAACTAGGCAGCAAACAGCCCAGTATTGGACTCCACCACCCCAATTCTGCCATTTTCCCCAGACACATAGAGTAAATCTTACTCTCTTAAAAAATTGTTGTTCTTATTTAAAGAGAGTCCAAGATGTGAGTATAGCATCCCTGACCTAAGTGTTCTTCTATTGTTGGCAATTGGCTATGTTCCATTGTTTCACTATTATAAATAGCAGTGCAATTAATTTGTAGTAAATATTATTCTTTTGGATTAATTCCTTGGTGAATTAACAAGTAAAAGGATAAGAATAGTTTCATTTATCCATCCATCCATCCCATATTTGCATTCCTACTATATGTAAGAGACACTGCTAGATGTGGAGAATAGTGATTTTTTTTAACAAATGGTTTCTGCTTTCAGTTTTGTCACATATTACCAGGAATTCTGAATGGCTGCCAGGCTTCCAGCAATGCTTTTCCATTTGCCTCCAACCTCACTAACATCAACTTTCATTTTTTTGTATTATCTTTTGCTATTCTAACAAGCATATACATTACCTTAAAATTAGTTTACATGTCATTAAAGCCAAATGGTACTGTAAATTTCTCATTTTACTTACAGATTTCTTTATACAAAAATTGTCAATACATCTTTGTACTTTCATTGAAAAGGTTGAACTGCTGATTGTTTCCCCTCAGTTATGCTGGAGTTTCTATTTCTATCACAATTTTTCATAGAACACCATTTTGATCTTCTAAGTATCTCAATTTTTTAAAGCCTCTTCTCCATTAAAAAGAATTTTGGGAGGGGCACCTGGGTGGCTCAGTTGGTTGAGTGTCCAACTTCGGCTCTGGTTATGATCTCACAGTTTGTGAGTTTGAGCCCCACATCGGGCTCACTGCTGTCAGTGCAGAGTCTGCTTCATATCCTCTGACCCCCTCTCTTTCTGCCCCTGCTCATGCTTTCTCTCTCAAAAATGAACATTAAAAAAAAAAAAGAATTTAAGTGTCCTGGGAATGAGACGGGGTTTTAGTCATTGTTTTTTTGTTTTGTTTTTTGTTTTTTTTTTTTTTTTAACGTTTATTTATTTTTGGGACAGAGAGAGACAGAGCATGAATGGGGGAGGGGCAGAGAGAGAGAGGGACACACAGAATCGGAAACAGGCTCCAGGCTCCGAGCCATCAGCCCAGAGCCTGACGCGGGGCTTGAACTCACGGACCGCGAGATCGTGACCTGGCTGAAGTCGGACGCTTAACCGACTGCGCCACCCAGGCGCCCCTTAGTCATTGTTTTATAAACATTACTTTTTTAATTCCCAAATATGTGCCCATTATACAATTTCAAATAATATGAACATATAAAGTATAATATCAGAAAATTCTAAAAAGCTGTAGAACAGAACAGTTAGGTATACAGACTTGGAGTCAAACTGCCTGGGCTTAAATTCCAGTCCTATCCATTTCTAGCTAGGTAACCTTGAGCAAGTTGCCCACCATACTGAACTCAATTTGAATGCTAAAGAGCATTCAAATGGGAATAATAGGAGCACACATCTCAAGAACCATTGGAAGGAGCAAATGACTTAATACATGTAAAGTGCTTAGCCCAGAACCTGTGACACATTAAGCATTCAATTAATATTGGCACTTTCTTTTTAAACTTTTTTTTTAATGTTTATTTATTTATTTATTTAGAGAGAAAGGGCATGAGTGGGGAAGGGGCAGAGAGAGAGAGAGGGAGGGAGAGAATTCCAAGCAGTCTCCATGCTGCGAGCACAGAGCCCAACTCAGGGCTTGATCTCAAGAACCTCAAGATCATGACCTGAGCCGAAATCAAGTGTCAGACATTTAACCAACTGAGCTACCCAAGGACCCCAGAGTTGGCACTTTTTAAATGAAAATTTCCCATATACTAGCATATCATTATTGTGCTTCATTGCTCAATAACATACTGTTGTGCAATTTGCTTTTTTCACTAAACAATAAATCTTGAATATCTTTACATGCCAATTAATACATAAAGATTTACCTCTTCCTTATGAAGACTGCATACCATACCATTATATTAATGTACTATATAATTTTCTACCCAAATCAAATCTGAAGTCTTCTAGATTATTTAACCAAATTACCAACAAATGGTAATTTTTCTCTCTACTAAAACAATGCCACAAGCAATATCTTTGAACATATCTTTCATGCTCTTATGCAAATATTTTTGAGGATAAATTCATAGATATGAAAACGCTGGGTCATCACATCAATGCATTGTACTCCTTAAACTTACATAATGTTATATATCAATTATATCCAATTTTAAATAAGAAAATGCTAAAAGGATATGAACATTGAAGAAAATGTATAGTCATTGCCAAATTCTTAGCAACTGTTTTCAAGTACTCTTACCAGAATACCCAAGTCAATACTGTATGTCACAATGTTTTTAATCTTTGACAATCTGATAGGTGAAAATATCTTGTTTTAATTTGCATTTCTTTAATCATTAATATTCTTCACATTTTCAGGGATTTGAATATTTTTTCTCTATAGATTCCTAATTCATGTCTTCTGCCCATTTTTCTGTTGTACGTCTTTCTAAAATGACTTTTAAGAATATTTTATATATTAAGAAAGAAAAGGACTTTTAAAATTTTTTAGTTTTTTTTAATTTTATTTTTGAGAGAGAGAGACAGAGAGACAGAGCCCAAGTGGGGAAGGGGCAGAGAGGGAGACACAGATTCTGAAGCAGGCTCCTGGCTCTGAGCTGTCAGCACAGAGCCTGATGCAGGGCTCAAACTCACAAACCACGAGATCATAACCTGAGCCAAAGTCTGATGCTTAACCAACTGAGCCACCCAGGTGCTCCAAAAAGGGCTTTTAATGGATGGAAAATTTCTTTGTGGTAGGGCAAGAGATTCTTACCTTTTTCCTGGTCCTTGAAAACTTAAGCCCACAGTCTCAAAGAAAAATGCTCCTGACTTTCAAGGAGTAGTGAATGTTACCAAAAATGGAAAGGGAAATCGTTGTCTGCAGGTAATTTAGAATTTAAGAAAAGTTTCACAACACACTTTTCGCTCAAGGGGCATCTGGATTTGAAGGAGACACAAATCATTCAAGAATCAGAATAGATCTCTTGGGAATTGGGAATCTTTGGTTCTCAACCAAGTTCTTGCTTTGAATTTCTAACCTTAAACAATGTCCCTGTCTGAATCACTCCTAATACCAATACCTACTGGCTTTATAATGATAGAACAGTATTTACAAAAGCTTTTAAAATGGAAACTAAATCATTATGCTTTCCAATAGTTAAGATTTAGAACCTAAATAAAGGAGACAACTCTCAGTAGTGATGATGAAGCCACACAGGCCTAAGATACACAAAAGAACCAAAACATGGGGCACAGTCTCCTGGAATATCCAATTGACTTCAACCGGGCACTGTAGAACCAGGCTCTCAGGTTTCTTGGGAGTGGAAATTTTTGAGAAAGACTGTTATGTTTATGGTTTACGACTTTCCCTCCCCAAAATATTTTTACTCAGAGAAAAAATGACTCAAGTATATGAATACATATTAAAATTTGCTTTCGATTAAAAAAATAAAATCGGAAGCTAGGGTCTTGTTTTCAACTATGCAATCTTCTGGGTGAGACAACTTAACAAGACCCTCTGGCCTTTGATCTCTTCTCTAAATTTCTCACTTCCCCTAACAGCCTGACTCATCCTTTGCTTGCAAAACTTAGCCTAGCTGTACAGAACATTCAAATTAGAAAAGACAAGAAAGGTTTTAGTCTACCTAAGATGAGGAAAGTGAGTCCTAAAGAAAGAACTGTCGGATTTTTTGTTTCTTCATCCAACTGGCTCTTGGCTTCCCTTTGAGTTCCCAAGAAAAACAGTATTTTGCAACTGCTCAAACCTACCAATGTCTATGACTTTCTTTGTCCTGAAATTCTTATTTGTATCTATTCCCACTCCTTGGGCTACCATGTGGAGTCAGGTTCCTTCCTTTACAAATATCTCTCCTCTCTAAGCCATCCTTAGTGCCACAGCGTCACTAAGGTATGGTCAGTTAGGCCTCCCAGTACAATGGAGCCACTGCCACTGATTGCCAGTCCCAGGATAATGAGCAGCATAAGTACCACCACCAGGAAAGATGGAGAAATAAAATGTGTAAATGTCACATTCTTCCCAGATTTCAACCTTGCCGGGGAGAAATTGGTCTAGAAATCTACAGATTTTTCAAAATGCACTGAGCAATCAATTGTACTTGAAATTTCTTATCTGGATGTAGGCATTTCTACAGGTTTTACAAAAAGCACTCACTTAGAAGTCATGAAATCATGGCTCTCATCCTTGGCTCTGCCCCTTATAGCTCTGTGACTTTGAGGACACATGACCTCTCTTGGCCTCAGCCTCCCTATGTATAAAATTAGGGAGTTGGCTAGAACATTGCTATGGATCCCATCAGCCCTAAATCATGATGATTCTCCATCACTTAGGTCTCACCTATCTTTCCAACGCCCCACCAGCCCCCTAGACTTCAAACAGAAGTGTGAATCAAGGATGTCAGTAGATGGAATCCTGAGGCTTCGGTATTAGCCCATGCCTTCTGTTCTTCCAATCTCTGACCCAAGACCAGCAGGGGATCATCAGCATACTGCACTAGTACATTCCCCTACTTTCAGAAGGCAGTTTGCTAACTAGGAAAGGAAAATCCAGCATTTAACCTGGTCTCCCCCTTCCCTCTCCTCATTCCCCGGTCTTACCCCTGTACTCAGGGTGCTAAAGAACCTGCTCTCAGATCATTTTTTTTCTAAGACCAGCAGCAATAGCAAGTTCAAACTGTGCCCTACAGACCAGAAAATAACCCAGGCTTTCAGAAGGCCACAGCCATCCATTCAGCTGTCCATTCCCTGGTATGGGCCCAACGTACTCCTCTGGAGCCCTCTTAAGAGCTAAACACCTCTCTCTTTCCTTTCCTGCCATTGGCATCCTTTGGGGACTGTAGAAGATACCCAGAAGAGGCACTTGGCCCTAAGTCATGACCTGGGAAGTAACCAGCCTCATCCCCATCCCCAGGAAACCTCCTGCATCCAGCAGAGGGCTGAGCAGCTAATGCCTCTATCCTTCCCAGTTCTCTTCTTCCACCCCACAGTGCAGAGAAGGGACTGCGGAGGTGGTTTCTTGTTCCTGAAAGGGAACATTCCCCTTTCAGAGGAGGAAATGTTGGGTTTCCCCCATGGACTCCTCAGGCTCTCATTACCTGCCTTACTTTCTCCTTGTACAAAGTAGATCTGAAAACATACCAGTTTTCACTCCTCCTCACTTAGAAGAATGCTGACAGAATGAAAATAAAACCAGAAATACCACTGACAGCTGAGAGCCCTGTGTCAGTAATGAGGTTCAGGTCTCTCCTGTTCAACCTGGAGGTTCATGTTCCAGAGGAAGGCCTTTAGGCCAAAGATTACGTGTCCAGGGGAATGGAGCCCTGAACAACCATTAATCCAGAAATTTCCAGTATTCTGGGGCAACATCATGGCTAAGTACAGTGCCAAGGGTAAGGAAGGTAAGGGGAGAGCAGAGGGGACTGTTAGTACAGGGTGGTCAGTGCTGGACACCCACTGCTGTGCATCACAGTCCCCAGTGAGCTGGTGCAAGGTGGATCCATGCTGCCCCCAGCTCAATGGAAACACCACCTTCTAATCATACTGCAATTTATAAATGTATCAAATCAACACATTGTATACCTTAGGTACAATGGGAGGAAAAAGGAATAAATATTTGAAGTTATCGGGGGGGGGGGGGAGGGACCACCTTCTGCAGTGCCCAGAGGAGAAAAAGGACTAATCCTACATGCTCCTCAATTATCAGCTTTCTCCAAAGGCACAGAATGAATGAGTCTGGGCCCTAAAATGGGTTTGAGAAGAGTTAATTTCCTAATTCAGATAAGACCAAATTTGGGATATATTAATTTTCTAAGCAAAGGACTATTTGTGGTAAACTGAAGCAAAGAGTGACAGCTTCTCCCATTTTACTCTTTGGGAGATATGAACTGCTCTCTGATTCTGTAGATAAATATGTGGCACAAAGAGACAGCGCAAGCCATGCTAATAGAATCTCTACAAATGACAGGCATTTACCATGCCCCAATACAGCAAGGACACACAAGAATATCGATCTCCTTTTCACATAACCAGAAGGTGTCAAAAGTCAGGTGTGAACTCCAGTCTGCATGACCCCAAATGGAGTTCCCTTCTTCATCACTGACAATCTGAGAGGAGAAAACAAACAAAAAACAAAACAAAGAACTTTGTTTTCAGTTGCATTTAATTATTATTCAACACCTTTTCATGTTTAGCATTTGTATTTCTATGGTCAATTGCCAGCTCATGTTTTTTGCCCCATTTTTTTGTTGTTTTCTTCCTCTTTATTGATTTGTAAGAGTTCTACATACATGGGATAATTCCTCCTCATATGTAACAAATGTTGTATTGAGCCATATTCAATTCTAGTGTTTGTTGTTTTGTTTTGAACATGTATCTTTATCTGTCTGGTATTTACTTTAGTATGAGAAGTGTGAACACAGATTCATTTCCTCCAGTGACCTGACATTTATTCTAACACTATTTATTAAAAATCCAATTTTTCTCCACTAAATTGAATTATAACCCTATTAAAATATTTATAAATTTAGTCTTATTTGCTTCAGCATCCTCCAAAAGCAGCACAGTTGTTCTGTATGGACAACTGAGGGGGATCTATCACAGGTCAGACTACGGGGCTGAGGTGGGTCCACCTAATTCACAGATGCCCCCAGTGCCAGGATCTGGCACAGAACATGGCCTCACAGGATATCTGCTGAAGGAGCAAGAGAATGAGTGTATGCTAACCTCAGAGAAGCCATGGTGTACTACTGGAGATAACTAACCAGCTTCAAAGAAGTGAAGAAATTCAGAATGAATGACCCCAATGTCCTAGATATGTATAATACTATGCAGGGTATGAGCCAAGAACTGCTAAGGTTCCCTTCATCACTCCTGGTATTAAGATAAAATACAGTATTATTTGTCTCAACTTTTTACATTTAAATTATTCCAGTGATTTAAGTATGTTTGTTATAACTTTTAAGGCCCATTTTGGTGGGTCCGGATGAAAGGGGTGTTTCTTTTTAATGTACTTCCCAAGATAACTATTCAGCAGGTGATCATTACTGAAAACACCTTAGCTCCTAGCATTCTGTCTGGCTTTCTGGAGTTTCCACTTAGTGAAGCACACACAGTGGAACTTCATCTCCCAGCTCCACCTGACACAGGCGTTCTGCAAGGAGGGGAAACGCGAGCGGGGGGGCTGTGCCTGCTCCGTCTTGCCAGCAGCTTCTTTCTTTTTAAAACCTCAGAATCAGTTGGGCTCCGAGTCCTCTCCCTAGCTCTTCCCTCTGCTAGAGCATTCAGAAAACTGTCCTCTGTGTGAACAAGGGTGTCTGCCTAGCTCAAAGACTGGAAGACCCTGATTTCCAGAACTGTTCTCATTTCAAATAGCCTGTTCTGTTACCAAACCAGGTGATGGCTCACGCTCCTGACTCTGTGAAGGGCTACTGGTGAGGAACCCCCAGAACCTTCATTTTCCTACACCATGGCACCATTTGGCATGCTGAAATTGAATAAAACAGTTGACTGTTGGAGGCCAGTTTACCCAAGTTCTCTCACTGCTGGTAGCATTCGCTGGAGTAAGGAATACTCCAGTAATTCACTGTTGGCACAAAGTGCATCTGAAGATCGGAGGAGAGGAACAAGCTGACTGTCCTTCCTCCTCCCGGCAGGTGGTGATCGAGTCAGACCTCTACACTCCGAGGCCCCTGGAGCTGCTGCCACATCGCAGCGACCGCCGCGACGGAGAGGGCCGCAGGTCGGGCAGGCTCCACGGTGCTCGGCAGCAGGGACCCCACCTTGCCAAGGCCCCAGCCAGACCCGGTATGTGCGTCCTGGATCGAGTCCCTAGAATCTCCCTGGGGGGCAACGACGCGCTTAGACCAGCAGCCACAGTGTCTGTGGCCTGGCTTGCATTTTGTCCAATAACCTCACGATCCTCCCTGGCGTCCTCCATCACGCCAGGTGAGCGCAGCACCTGTGGTGTGGGGCGTGCGCTTCCCCCGCCCCCGCTTCCCCCGCCCCCGCCGCCGGGGCTGGCTCTTTGTGTTCCTGCTCTGAATGCACCCGTTCTCGGGCCCCACCTACAGCTGCAACACAAAACACCTTCTACCTGAAAAACACTCCTGGCTGTGTGTAATGAGCAAATGCTTTCATCTACCATCTTGCTCCACAGGAAGTCCTGCTGGATTCAAGAGGAGATGAAAATCATTATGTTTTGGGGAGAGAAAACCAGTGTAGACGTGACTCATGAAGAAACAGAAGCTTACATTATTTTACAGGCTGTGTGTGTAAATTATACAATCCTTCATGAACTGCCATCTTAAGATCTCAGAATTGTAAATGTGAATGACTTAGGGCTATTTCAACAATCTCTAAAAAGAATTTAGGGACAAATTTGTTTTGGAAACCGAAAACATTGTTAAGTCTTAACCTTAAGCACTATTTTGAAAAATGGCTTCCACCCCAAGCGGTTAAACGGGATTCTGCATCTAGCCCACTGAAGTCTGTGATGGTATTTCACCTTCAATCGCTGGTTTAAGTTATTTATGTCCACAGCCTAAACTAATTCATAATTTAACTCCAAAAATACACAATAGAAAGTCTGGGATGTCCTTCTCAAGGCTTTTCAGTGTCAGCAATTTTATATAAGAACTGAAATAATACATCATGGAATATGTATCTTTATCCATCCATCTACTCTCTCCATAGATGCTGGACTGGATCTCTAAGATTTCTTTGATCACTAACACCCTGATCCTGTTTTTATTATCCTACATATAATAACACATAAATCAAGCCATATTCTCTAGCTAAGTGATTACATATACACATATGTAGAGTGAAAGCATTAGGAAAACCACAATCTGCCTTGCAAATTAAGAGGAGATAAATTTTTCTCTGTGTCTATATATAGGAGGGTGGGTGGGTGCATGTGTGTGTAGAAAGAGAAAAAGAGAATATCTTCGCTACAAAATCATAAAATGAATTTACAGCCATGCTTCTCGAATTTTAATGTGCAAAAGAATCACCTGGGAATCTTGTTTTCATGCAGATTTCAATTCAGTAGGACTTAGCAGGGCCCCAGATTTCTAAGAAGCTTCCCCATGATGTTGATGACGTTGGTCTGAAGACAATATATTGACTAGCAAGGATTCAGAGATGGTCTAATGGGTGGTTCTTGAAGTGGGGTCTCCAGAGCAGCAGAATCACCTGGGAACTTGCTGTAAATGCATATTTTAGATCCCACCTAAGACTTACTGAATCAAATTCTGGGCTACAACCCAATAATCTCTGATTTAACAAGCCTCCCAAGTGATTCTAAAGCACACTGAAGTTAGAGAACCACTGATCTGCAACCACCCCATGCCCATTTACAGAAAAGGAAACTGAAACCATAGAAACTGTTTGACTCAAAGTCACACTGCTTATTAGCAATAGAACTGAGAGTAAATCTTAGGTCTTCTAATTTCCTAGCTAATGCCTCTATAACCCCCCTCATTTCCACCCCTAGAGAACAATGTCTTCCCAACTGTCTAGTTTTAGGGGCCACTTTCCTTCCTTTTTAAGTAGCCTGTGGAAGCTTAACTGCCCAAGTCAGTCTTTTATTCTGAAAGAAAACAGTAAGTAATGAAATGGAGAGAATCTGCCCAACATGTGACAGTCAGCTCATGCAGGGAATGTGCTAGTCAGGTTTAAAAAAAAAAAAAAAAGACCGAGCTGGGCATGGATTCAATTCCTTCAGCTCCCCCAATCTGATAGACTCCAGAGGGGGTTGGGGAAGACAGCAGGTTTCTGAGTCAAAGCCAGACCCAGTGCTTTCCACGGGAAAGGCTTGGTATTGGCCTTGGGCAAGGAGTCTCCCAACCTCCCATCAAAAGGATGTGTGTCTCCAGGAATCTCAGATCTGGGGGCATGCTTCTTTTCTGAGCTACAGGAGAAGGTTCCTGGATGACATAGACTTCTCACATGGGAGAAAGATTCTCTGAGGATCTCGGAAATTGCAGGAACTCTGAAGGAAGACGCCTTCACCATGAGGCCCTGAGCAGGTGAACCTCAAGTGCCTGGAATAGGGACACCCACCTCCTGGGCCCAAGAGAATTGGCTGTCTCTGGAATGTCTCTACCAGGATGTCCTCAGGCACCTGAGAATCAACTTGTTTAAATGGAATGCATCCTCCTCCTTCAAACCACTCTTCCTTCCTCAAGTAGGATGTTTTCCTTAACATCCCCTTTGTCCTCCCCATCCCTACTCCACCCCCTATGCCACATACTAAATACTGACAATGTCAATTCCTGGATGTCTCATCTCTCCCTCTTGGTACCTACCTCAGGTTACCTGGACTCAGACCCCTTCATCTCTGGTGCCTAGCACCCCACCGTGGCCCTCAGCCACCAGTCCCTCTCCCTATACAAGGCTACCAAAGGGGTCCTTCTAAAGCAGAAAAATCTGCCTCTGCCATCCTTCTGCTTCAGTGTCCTTCCCATCCCCACTGCCCTGCAGACCATGCCCAAGGCCCCCCAGAACCCCTCCTCTGCTGACCTCTCCAGGGCCACCTCCTGTGACACTCCTGTCCCTGCCTGTCCATACAAGCAGCAACCCTGAGCTGTGGGGTGATTCTGTGACTACTTCCTTATATTCAGTTTCCTGGTCCTTCCCTGACCCTGGATTGCCCTCCCTGTCTCTACCTGGCAAACACCTCCCAGAGTCCCTCAGTCAAGTTTCCCCAGCCCTGCAAGACCCCCAAAGCAGTCTGCCATTCCCTAGATCATCCTCACCCGGCTTCCTCTAATTGTTATCTCAAAGCCTCCATTTCCTCATCTAGAAAGTGGGGACTATTATGATATCTACCTGACGGGGTTACATGGTAAGGATTAAATGAGACAATGTTTATGTGTTTTACACTCTGCACAGTGCCTGACACAGTAAATACTCAAAAATATGAGCTGCTGTTATGCCAGAGCACTGTACGTTATGATGTAATCTTGGGAGTCTTGTAACTTCATTTTATTGGCATTGAAATGTTTTCTTCCTTGGGTTGGGGAGTGTTTTATCTCTATCCGCTATAGTGTGAAGAATGGGGCTTGTTCTGGAATGTCTGCCCAAGGAGAGAATTATATTGAAAGGCAACTTCCCCCACCTGTTATTGGCTACCTCAGCTTAACAACTTGATTCTCAGAAGCTGCAGACGTCAGGGTAGAGATTATTCAGAAGTAGGTTGGGCCTCAGGAATAAAGGCCTAGCAAGAAGGTTCTCATGTGTCTTCCATAGCCAATGGCTCAGAACTCTGATAAACTCCAACCCTCCCACATTCTGAAGCAGTGCTTCCCAACACAGGCAGGACGTCACTGCTCATTTCCACAGAGGGGTGTCCAGGATCAGCAGGCTGAATAGATCCCAGCTGTAAAGACTTAACCCCTGATAACCTCTTGTGATGTTGCACCCTAGGAGGGAAGGACAAGCTAAGGGCACATTCTCTGAGTACCTACTGCACACACAGTATCAAATGCTTCCACACATGTGATCTCATTAGACCTTAGTTTCAGCACCCCCTGGAAGAGTGCCAGGGGTGCAGATTACCCACTCAACAGTTGCCCCACTGCTTGACCCTACTGCCTGATTTTGCTGCTTGGTACGAAGGTTTTTAGAAATTCCCAGCTTGTGATCAGTTAGCTAATGAGATCATCGACACAGAACTAGGGGGGAAGTAGAACACAGAGTTCCACTGACTAATGCCTCCTCTGTTCATCCTTGCAGTGGGGATTTCAGAACCCAAATCATCAAATCTGTGTGGGAATCGAGCATATGGAAAATCTTTGGTAAGTAAAATAAGCCTGGTTAGTTCTATCTGGTGTGTTTCAAACTTCTTGCCCTGCCCTTGGTTCCAGGCCTGAAGATGGTCAGAAGAGCTTCCCTGAGGGTTCTTTGCTCCCCAAGTCTATCATCTTATAGCACACCACTGGATGTTGCTCTCTTTCTTGCCAGAAATTCAGCTTTTAGGCAAACAGAAGATATTACCTAGTGGACATCTCAAACATGGTGGGGAAAGGCGTGGTTTCTGTGGTAGGCACATGCCAGGTGGAAATGCCTGACAGATTCCCAGGGGCAGCTGCAGGGGTAATGAGATGTAAGGGTCTTGAACATTGTGAAAATACAAAACACCAGCCATCTTAGGTCAGGACAACTCTGGAGGACGTCTGCTCCATGTGAGGTTTTCTGGAAGCAGACTCAGATGTGGGGTATGGGGTATGAGATGTACATTAGGGGTCAATATGTGTGATAGGAGAAGGTAAGTAGGATTGAGCAGAGTCAACTGCTAAACTACCATGCACACCTGATACCTGCTGGTAGGAGCTCCAGGGCAAGTGTTACCCATCCAGATTGTCCTGAGTTGGGCCCAACTGGCCAAGCCTTTGTTTCCTCCTTGCTTTGTTATGGTATGTGGGCTGCCCCATGGAGTGTGGGTCAGGGTCAGCAGGGAGGGCATCCCCTGGGGTGAGAGGCCCTCTGCATCCTAGGCCCACCCAAAGGAGCTGAGAGCCATTTGCTGCCTGCCCCCTAGCAGCTGGGCAGCTTGTCTTTCCCTGAAGGGAGATCAGGTGGTGCATGTCCAGATCTAGCACAGAAGACATCTACATTGTCTTCTGGGCATGAATGTGGGTACTCTGCGTTAGCACAGTAGGAGTGGAATTCTGGCTACAGGTGAGGTCAGCTCAGGCATCCTGGGCTATGTGAGCATCAGCTCTCCAGATTGATAGATCATTCCATGTGAGGACCAGAAAAGATCCTGGAGATTGTGTGGGCCAGCCCCCTCGTCCTTAAGGAACAAAGTGGGCAGTGAGCACTTCATTCCCAGTCTGAGGAGAAAAATCTAATCTAAATACCTCACTTAGGTCATCCCTGTTCTAGGAAAACCCTACAAAGGGTAGGGATGGGACAAGCTGTTTCATCAGGAGCCCCCTGCCCCCACCTAGTACCTAGGAGAAACTGAAGATGGCTGAGCTACTACCACAGAATGCAGACTGTCAGGCTGCAACAGTTCTAACAGCTGCCCACAGCTCAGCCCAGAAAAGACTAAGGTTAAGGGGTAGAGGATGGCTCACAGTCTTGGATTACCTGCCCCCAGACTCTGGGCTACAGTCAGACAGTACCCTTGGCAGAGAGGTAACTGCATTTGAGAGGCCAGAATGAGTTGAGACGGGATAGGGTAGTAATGGGGACACAGTTTCAAAGGAGGAGGGCAATACTAATGCAGAGAACAAGGAGGCAGGGCAGCATGACTGACCCTTTCCTCTGAGCCTGAGACAGTGCTGCTGGGGTCATGCAGCTCTTAGGAGGCCCCTTATCCCAGGGTGGGTGAAAGAGTGATTCAGAGCTTGCACTGCTAAATCTGATTCAATGCTGCCATG